GTGTCGACTTAGCACAGCTCATCTATCTATCCTCTGTCTGCCTGTCTCTCTGTCTGCATACACAGCTCAATTGCTATACCCTTTGGGCATACGACCAGCAACAGGGTATACGCCAGTCGAAAGCAATTGACTAGAGCACTCCAGTGTCAGTTCTTATCTTGTAGCTGGGCTGGCAACAGCAACGGCAGCTGGCAATCTTGGCGACTTCATTAGCTCCCAGCTGCAGCAACAAATGTGTGTGTGTGTGTGTGCGTGTGTGCGTGTGTGTAGATAGGTAAATCGCGGCAAATGAGCTGGTAAAAGTGCAAAGGCAATTCATGGCAGCATAGCATAGCAAACAGGGCAACATTTATATCATGCTCAACTAATTGCAGGAGCGCGCGAAGCTGTGGCAAAACTAGGCCGCAGGATGGGGGATGGCAGCGTAAGAGGCAGCCAGGCAAGCAGACAGGACATACCAGCAGGCCAGCTGGCATGTGACTGTGGGTGTGCTTTAGCATGTGTGTGTGTGTGTGTGTGTGTGTGTGTGTGTGTGCACACACATGTCTGGCCATAACATAAATTCTCATAAGCATAATGCTTTGAAAATTGGAGCAAAACGAGGCAAACCACACGGCGAAGGACCTCGAAGCTTGCCAGTGCGATAAAGCGACTCTCAACTCTCCACTCTCGCCTCTCGCTACTCGTCTCTCGTCGTCCATGGGCCACTGGCAAACTAAGTTATTGAAATTACAAGTTGTACACGCGCCCAGGCACGACCGCTTTAATGAGCTGCCTGCCCCATAACCCTGGCATCCGTTTGTCCGTGCTGCAGCAGCAGCAGTAGCAGCAGCTTTAACTAAATTAATACAAATATGTAATAAATGACAGAGGGTCAGCCAGTGCACAGTACACTGAGGCAGAGAGAGCTAGGTGGGCAGAAGATGAAAGAGAGATAAGGTAACTGTGTGTATGTGTGTATGTGTGTGTGTGTGTGTGGGTGGCTGGCAGACACATGTTCGAGACATGAAAGCCAAGTTTATTCTACAAAGATTCTCAGCTGATGTATACACATACATATATATGTATTCATATATACATAGACTTATATACTCAAGGAATTTGGTCTAAGACACGTGAATATCTTAGAGCCCATACTTAATGTAGCTCAGCATTTCTCAAGATATACTATTGTATAATGCTGCCAAAATCGATATTTATCGATTTGTAGCCAATATCTAATATATGTTTAGTATTAAATACTGTTGAAGCTGCTATATTTATTGCCTTAGCTATATATTTCATCTAATTTAATACTGCCAGCATCGATATTTATCGATTCATAACTGATGTCTATTATTAGTCTGGCACTGTGAGCTATTCAAGGTGATATGTGTAATGTGTGCTATAACAGCTGTATATTTTAATAACTGTAAATGCTGCCAACATCGATATTTATCGATTATTATTCCTTTATCGTCTATTATTCCTTTGCATAAGAAACTTTTGAAGATGCTATATTTATTGCCTTAGCTATATATTTCGTCTAATGTAATACTGCCAACATCGATACTTATCGGTTTATAGACGCTGTCTATTATTCGTTTGGCACTGTGAATTTTGGAAGATGCTCTATGTAATGCTTAAGCTATAATAACTGTATATTTTGTATGCTGTAATGCAGCCAAAATCGATATTTATCGATTTGTAAGCGATATCTAACATTCCCTTGGCATTAGGAACTATTGAAAATGTTTCATGTATAACAATTATCAATTCCTTGTACGACAATAGTGACCAATTCGATATTTATCGATTAGTAAACGATATCTTTTATTTGCTTAGCAATATAAACCACTGATGCCTATTTTCTTTGCACTCCACTCAACTAACATATCGATAAATATCGATAATCATGCAGTCGTAGCATGCAACAGATGCCATCGATAGGCGAACCCATGGCAATTCGCAGCCATGCCTAGGGTATGAAGCTAGACAGGCTGTTGTTGTTGATTTTATTATAATAATAATGCTTAAGCGCGCGCACAACAACAACAAAGGAAACAGCAGCAGATTAAGGCAGTGGCAGAGGCAGAGAATAAAGAAAAATGAAGAAGAAAAAAAAATGCCCTGAAAAGCAACAAAAATCAATAACCACCCGAAGGCGCATGCAGAGCAGGCATATGAAATTTACATACGAGCCTTGAGTATGTGTGCCTCTCCCTTTGTGTGTGTGGGTGTGTGTGTGTGTGTGTGTGTGGCAAGTGGGTGTTCTCTGTTATTTTGCTGTTGTTGCTGCTGTTGTTGTTGCTGTCGTGCCTCAAGGTTGTGTCACAGCTGAGACACCAGCCAAAGCCAGCCAGTTAGTCAGGCTATGGCATGCATTGTTGCCGCTGTTTGTGGCACATGTGCTGCTGGGCCCTTGACGACCACGCCCCCAGCTGGCGGCCAGTGCTAGTTGCCTCAAACGGGGCAAGGATACAAATACAATGAAAATTGCAGCATAAGCAAATCGAACAATCAACGAAACAAATTGCACAAAAGCAACAAACAACAACAGCAACAACAACAAGAACAACAACAACAACGACAAAGGCAAAGGCAATGGCAACAATTGCTCATTTCACTTCAATTAATTAATTAGCCCGCCTGCAATTAAAATATTGAACATGGGCACAGTCGAGCAAACTCAAGGGAAATGGAAAGGCGATAATTATTAAAAGTCAAGTAAATTAAAGTGAAACTGAATTTAAGTGAAACTTAATTAAAGCCCAAGGCGAAAACTCAGCCAATGGTGAGAAAAGGTTAAAGCTGCGAAAATTGAAGTTTGACTTGAGTAGTAAATAAAACTTAATCACATAGCAACACTTTTAGAACAAGATCTAACCGGATTCACATGAATTTCATATGAAATTTTACAATTTGCCCAAAAACTATGTGAAAAATACTCTAAAAAGGAGCAACATTTTCTAGATTAAAGACCAGATATACGAAAAGGCAGTAGATATCAGGATAACAGATAAAACTGAAGCCAAACTTGAGCAGATCATAAAACTCAGATGAAGGTCCTCAAACGAGATTATTGAGATTATTGGCAAAAATACACGATATTCTATATGCACAAAATACCAATGGACATAGAAAACCCAAACTGAATCCTAGCTGAATCACAGCCCATCCCTAGAAATTCTTCCAGCTGTTCCAAGAAAAGTATTTAAAAAATACTAGAAAACCCACTCAACCATAATATTGGTTAAATAAAAAGCACACGTGGCATACGAATCAGTCAATCAGGCGAACAAAATTTCGTCTGGCTAAAATCTATAGTATTTCAGTGGAAAATTGTGAAAATAAATAAAAAGAAGAAAGAAAAGTTTTTGCTATTAAAAGTTTGTAACTGGGCTAATGTCATCTTAATAGACATTCATGTTAAATGCAACACTTATCGCGCATTGAGCTTATATTGGGTATAATTATTTTGACTTTTTTGGGTCGACACGCCACTGGAAAATGGCAACGGGCAGAATGGTAAAATGGTAAAATGGTAAAACGGTATTTCGTTTATCAATTTTGAATTACGACAGCCAAACAATGGAAATTTGTGCACATGTTCCGGCTAAAAGGTTTACCAAATAACAAATTGATAAACCTAGCGCAAAAACACACGAGACACACAACGAAAAGTTGAAAGCTGACGAAGGAAAATTGAAAATGGGAAATGGACGATGGGCGATGGGAAATAGGCAATGGCAATGATGGGCGAAACTGGAACACTGAGCAACACCAGATGCAGATGTTCACATGATAAATTATATACCAAAAAGTTGAAAGTAATTGCCATTATAATGGCCATGGCAGGTGATTATAAGAGCAGAGCTAAAAATGTATATAAATAAATATATATACATATGTAGAGGAATATATTTGATATCATATTTCAGCCATATTCCTAAGCAACTCTTGGACTCGACTTGAAAGTCGCGTTACTTAGCAAAATTCATGAGAAAATTATACCAAATATAATTATCTATATATGTACAAATTTATATACCTGTATAGTCCATGTTATATACAGTTGTAGTATATGATTGAATGATTGGCTTGTCATGTTTATATTAAGGTTGTTGGAAATATATCAACATATCAATGTATCGATATATTTTAAACAAAATATATATTTTTATCGTAATATTTTCTTTTTGCTTAAATGTTGAATTCTTTTTTACAAATTTGGGACGGATTATAAATTTATTATGAGAAAAATAAGTATTAAAAAAATAAAAAAAAAATTAAAAAAAATAAACAAATAATAAATTTAAAAAAATTAAACAAAAAATATAATAAAATATAAAATAAAACAAAAAAAAATATGTTGATATATCGATATTTTTAAATTTGCATATCAAATATCATATTGAAAAATAAAACAAATAAAAAATAAAATAAAATAAAAAAAAACCCAAACATTTTGATATATCGATATTTTTAAAGTTGCATATCAAATATCATATTGATATTTTTCAGATCCTAAAATATCATCGATAGGATATTTTGAAAAATATTCGACAGCCCTAGTTTATACAAACCCTATGACATAACTACATCGAAGTCTATCGTAATCAGCTCACATTCCATCAAGATAAGATCTACAAATTGCTTTAATCACTCCGTTTATTTATACTTTTTTTTTTTATATAATTTATTCATGCATAGCAAAGTTTTCACAGTTAATCGCAGTCGATTTTAATTGGTTCTCTTGCCCAAACAAGCTTTATTATCGATTTCGCAATAAGAGCCCCAGACACGCAAATCAAACAGATTCGCATTATTCCCAAAGAATTTGATCGAAATCGTAAAATTATATTCGGGCACGAACATGGGCAAAGTATTTGGATTGAACTTCAGGCGTCGCAGTATATATTTCACATTCTGTAAGCGATGCATGATCAGTTCTTTTTTTCTCTTTCTGTGTGTGTGTGTGTGTGTGTGTGTGTGTGTGTGTGTTTGTGTGTGTTACTCACCCTCTTAAAGGGGCATTTTTCTGGTAAATTGTGCTCAGCCTGCTGTATGCCGGCATAGAGAAAGCTCAACAATGAGGGTCTCACACCAGATGTTAGCATCTTGCATATATCCAAACGACCTCCACTCACTCGCATGCCCTTGGCCTGATAGTGATTGAGTTGCATATCCACAAAGCCAATCAAACTGATGACATCCTTGTCGCCAGCCGTTGCTTCCACCGTAAATGTGGTATTATTTTCCAAAATACAGGAAACGTTTGATATCTTATTGGATTTCTTTTCACATTTCAAGCCAATGAATGAGACGCTCTTGGGAACATTTTGAGGAATTTTATGATAGATTTTTTTATACGTAATATTTTTATTCCTGTTCAAACTTAGCATACCTTTTGAGCTAGGCTTAGGGTCCACAGTCCAGCGATAAGGAATCCAAATAAATATAGTTTTTGGTATGCTATGAAGTTTATTAGCGAACAATACATTTTAGAATAGACTACAGCCAACTGGTGCCTTGATATAAATGAGCTTTGTATTTATATAAAACAGTATCGTTATTATATATTTAATTTTAAAGGTTTTTTTTTAATTTTTGTTCTTTAAAAATAATTGATAAACATTTAAATTCACGTTTTTTTTTTTTTTTTTGGTAATTTTTAATTGTTTTCTGCTACTATTTGTATGACCATAGTTGTATTTATACAGTACTTATTCAATATTGATCTCAATCAAAGTTAATTTCCTAGCAATTGCAAACGAGTGTGTTTTTTGGATAGCTCAGAGTATTGAACGAGCATGAAATGAGTATATTGGCTCTATGCGAGCTCATTTCTAATTACGCATCAATTCGCACTCTCAAGTACTCTACGAGTGATTAGAAATGAGCTTCATAGTGCTCTGACCTAGGCGAATAGCTCGTTCGTTTTTCCTTTGGCATTCGCAATCGCATTTGCATTTGCATTTGCATCAGGACCTACTGGGCCTAAGTGCTTGATATTCCATTTGGAGTTGATGCAGACCCATGCACGTTTATTTATTGTGTATTTGAATTATTGGAGCAACTCGGCTGTAAAAAGCATTTGGGTACCAGACCTGTTTGCGCAGTGTGTGAGTGTGTGAGAGAGATAGAGAGAGTGAGAAAGTGGGCAGGGGAGGAGGGAGGCATACAACTAGTGACCATACACACATCAGTCAAATGAAACGACTGACGTCTCTTTTGTCCAGCTGCGAATAAAAAATAAAAAAAAAAACTCCTCTTGGCTTACGCTGCAGCTATCCCATATGGCCGTACCCGTACCACACCGCCCCGTTCAAAAGCGTAGCCATGCCAGCCCCATTGTTGGCTGTGGATTGTGTGCATTATTATGTATTGGCAACTTGTTTAGTTAGGAACTTCGTAATTTCGTTATGGCACAGAGAGTCGAGCAAACGATGCTGAGTAAGAGCTCAAGAGCTACGTGAGTGGCTGGATATGTATACACAATACTTAATACACACATGCATGCATGCATACATACATACATATAAATATATATCGGTGTGTTCTGGTATGCTAAGAGTGTGCGTGTGCATGAGCATGTGCTTTTGCTTTTGTTTGTTTTACTAATAGAATCATATGATATTTAATACTACGAGTATTTCCGCAGTGCTCGTGACACGAAAAGTATTTTTGCCGTAACTTTCCAGTACTTGGCACAAAATTATATATATTTTTCAGTCTTTAGTTTATGCTGCTCTACTCCAACCTGTTCACAATCAAGTCTAATTCCTGTTGAAGAATATGATCTATCTTTTAATACATTATTCCGTCCTTCCGACAAGCACGGCTGATAACTTTTGCTCTAGCTAGGTTTTATCTGTTAATGTGTGTATTTTAGTGGAGTTCGAATATTAATGCAATGGTTTTAGTTTAATAGTTCATGGTAAATGCGACTGGCAACATTTACAAGCTAGCTTCTTCAGCTAAAGACAGTAGCGATGCTAGCTTTCTTCTCAAATTATGATGGATGTTGTAGAACATAATGTCTATATTAATGTCTTATTTTATTTAATATTTAGTTTACCATACTTCATGTTAAATCCTGATTGTAGAATTATTGAAAATAGAATTTATTTTGCCTAAGGAATGTTTGTATTTGTCGACATTTATTCCTACTCCAATAAACTTTTCTAGATATTGGGTTTACGGTTCCCTACCTTAAGCCAAACTAGCTAATAGTTTGCCAAAAGTTCGCAATTTGATTCAGCTTGCCTTATCAGCCACTTTACAATGTGCTAGCTCATGGTAAATACTGCTGATACATTGTAGAGCTAGGCAACGCTGCCTCTACTTTGTTTACATCAATTCAAATTCAACTCTGTCATAGCTCATGAAAACTGACCAATATTATGGCAGCCCATGCCTATCGATAAGCAATCGATAACCCGACGTTATCGCTGCTGTTCGTCATGTTCTGCCAGCAGCACGTGTCCTCAACTCGAATCTATTTTGCTAAGTAGCTATATCTGGTATGATGTGTGAGAGAGCGTGAGTGTGCGTGATTGTGTGTGTGTATGTGTGTGTATGTATATAACATACTTGTATATCAATATACAAGACAAGCTGACATTTGCTAAACCCAGAAGCCGTCACTGACAGCAACAGCAGCAGCCACATAAGCAATTGCAGCCGCCCACAATGTGAGGGAAACATCAAACGAAATTCCTATTTATTTATACATACATATATATATGTTTTGGTGCTTTCTTTTTGATATTTTGGCCGCAAACATTGGGAAGTTTGACAAGCCAGAAGATTGAGTACGTGCTCCACATTGACAAATGGAACGCGACCGGCAAACGCCGAACTTAGCGCAAAGCCAGGCGAGGCGAGGGCAAGAAGTATCGTATTCAAACTTTAACTTCCGACTTTGACTGCAAAATCGATGGGCTGTCAATGTGACTGCTGGTGCACAGGTGTATGTATGCGCGTGTGTGTGTGTGTTTTATTGGATGAGTTTAATGCTCATTCCAACCCTGTTTGACTACTTACCCACTATATATACAGACATTATTTGGGATGGAACATGTGCACATCACTGACTGATGTTTGGGATTTGAAAATGCCAAATACGCATACGTCTACTCACCTGCAAAGAGAGCAATGGATGGAAGAAAGGGAAATCATTATTAGACATGTTTTTCATATTTTGCATATTTTATACTCTATGCTATGTTGTTTGCTTTTACACACACACACACACACACACACACACAGAGCCAAGTGCAGCTAAGGTCATTGCTATGACTCTTCAATCGCCTGCTGCATGGCAAAGGATTGAATAGTCCTTCATATAGCTGAAGCAGCCCTAAGCTCTTTCGGCTGCTGTTGCTGTTCAGTCAACATACGCAGAGCTCATCATCATCATCATCATCATCATCATCATCATCATCATCCCACAGGCATGGCTCATAAAGTGCAACATGCGAGCAGTCGCAAATAAGCATAGAAGGCAGCCAGCGCTGCATGTGGCAGCTGCATGGGGCACACGATTCTTATGTTACGCGAGGGTCGCTCCAAACAGTTCAATCTATCGTCTATTAGGCAAGTTAATTACGTCTAAAAGCTTACAGCTGTAGTCTATTAACGATAGATAGCTAGACTTATCTCTTATTCCTTAGGGTTTTCACATATCTTATCCATGCTCTTGAAGCCATAATGAGCTATCGATAATCATACATATATGTATATCGATAAGTAGATATATATAACACATTCTATAGAGTATGTAAACAGCTATAGATGGCTACATTATGATTTCTATGCATAAGAAGTTATTAATTTTTTTATAGGCCCACCTTTCGTATACATGATATCGAATCAAATATTTGTTATCGATAGGCAGACACGTAGTATGCTAAATACCATAACAAATGTTTATTATCCATGCATATACGTTCCTCATATATTGATTTTCTAAATTTTGGGGCATTTGCATAAGTTGTTATCGATAACTACATATTTATATCGACGTATATCTTATAAATATAAAGTCTATTCTCGATAGTTTATACCCCGTTAAATCTGAAATCGCTATACATTGAATAAGGTGTATCCCCTGGAAAAAATATCGTTCTAGATAATTATCGGTAATTTGTTATGTTATGTGTTGGTTATCGGGACTCGAATGTATAAGCATTTATTAATAGATATATGATATTAGAAAAGAATATCGACTAAGCATAATATGGAACTACCGATAGACAGTTTAATGAATCGAAAACAAGTTAACTGTCGATGTATATCGATAGGCATACATAGTTCGATATAAGAGAAAACGCATAGTTGTACAACTATTTGAGATATCAAATCTTGCCAGCATCTACCACAGCTATCGATAGACACAACATATCGGCAGACACACGACGAGATCTTCATGCTGCCAGACAAATTGCAACTCCAACTTCATTTAGCTGGGCAGCACCTTAAATTGTTTTTGCAACCGTAAACTGATTACGAATTATAATAGGAAATTGCTTTAAATGTTGTCTGCGTAGTGCGTGCCCTCTCAGCGCTGTAAGGAGACCCTCGTTGCAAGGACTCAAGACGCTGTCAGCGCTCCAGTCTGGGCATTAACAAAGGCGTATATAGTACTTGGTCTTGTCGTCTCGACGTCGGCAGCGCCATCGCCATCGCCGTTGCCACCGACCGTTGCCGTTGCCGTTGCCGTTGCCATTGCTGTCACGCTTAGTTCCACAACTTGGGCGGGCTTACGCCTGCATTCAGCCAGACACGCATTCAATTCGCCTGCCATTCAGCGCAAATTCTGTGTATGGCGAGAGCGACATATGTCATGCATTTTTAAAGTCACATGCCATCCCCCCCGCACTCCCCAACTCCCACTCCCACTCACTCTGTAGCTGGTTGCTATAGAGTAGCGCTGGCAACAGCGCCGACTGAAGTGGGAAATCAAATGTTTGTAATTAAAATTAAATATTCTATTAAAGGATCAAAACTGCAAGGCTAAAAGGATGCAGTCAGGCGGTAAATAGCAATCAAAGCGAATTGTAAGTACACCTACACTAAGCACATGCCAACACACAGACAGAGAGAGAGAGACAGAGAGTGAGAGATATGAACGTATTTATATCATAACACAAATGTTTAATCAAGTATCTGCTCAGAGTCCCAAGCCGAATATCGAAAATAAGTAAATAGTCAGCATGGGCATTGGGAATTTGCGGACTCGATTGACATTGCCATTGATATTGCTATGAAGCGTGAAATGTCAAGTGCTTAGTGCTTAAGTTTGGCTTTTGCAAACACTTGGCAA